AGTCCTCCGAATGTGGCCGAAATCTCAATGCTTGAAAGAGTTCAACGTAGGGCCACAAAAATACCATACTCAAACCGAATGCTAAGTTATGAGAAACGGCTAGTTAAAATGGATTTAATTAATTTAAAACTCAGAAGAAAACGAGGAGACCTTATTCATTTATATAAGATTATAAACAATCTAGAATTTGTCAATCTTAATGTCAAACCAGTCTATAAGTCAAGCATTAAATTAGATGGCCCATGTTCTTCCATTAGAGGTCTCAAACATAAAATTAGAATGCAGTGTTTTACTCCTCGCGAAATAAATGACTTTCATGCATCGGTTAGCTCCAGAATCCATTTCTTCACAAACAGAGTTTGCCAAATTTGGAACAAACTTTTGGAAAAAGTTGTAGATTTCGAGAATTTGAATAGTTTTAAAGCAAGTTTAGACGAATGGCTTAAGAAAAATAAGAAAATAATAATTTAAAAGAAAAAGAAAAAAAAGTACTGGGCTGCTATAGCTGAACGTTACAACGTCTCAGCTTGTGGATAAGATCCACGCAGTTTACCACTAACTAACTAACTATATATATATATTTTTTATAATACCCTTATATAAATACATTAAAACCTGTTATTAGCCACAATTGGCCTTTGTCATCGGTGCATTACTAATATCAATTACTACTGAAAGCAGAATATTAACTTAGCAACTTACTTTACAGTAGATAGCTTTATTCATTATTTCCATGATATACATGGTCTGTTCACAAAATTATCTCAGGCAATTGTTAATAAAGTTTTACTAGAAATACTGTTGTTGTTTAAAGTCTTGTCTATAAAATCAATCATAAAAATTGTTTTAAAAGATTTACATTTACAATATATGTATTTACAAATAAACTTTATACAATATATAGTTTTAACATATAATTTACTAAGAAAAATTTATCATATATGATAAATTTTACAAAACTTTGGTGATAAAAAAAGTTTTATAAACTATCAATAAAAGTAATTATAAATAAAGTCAAATCATTAAAGTAAAAGCTTTGTTAATATAAAAACATTTGATTAGAAAAGATTAAAGATTACAAACTTAAGTTTTTAAACTCATATTTGAAATTAATTACTATTTAAACTTACATGGAAACATACAAAAACTTGAATGTTCTAAAAACATCAGGAATTATGTGCAGTTACACGCCATTCCTAACAAAGCCTGCCTGTCAATAACTACCTTCATTGTTTTTATTTTTATCTTATCGGCTACTAAATCATTAGCAAATTGCTTTTGTCTTAATGTTGTGTTTCTCTTTTTCCATAACTAAGCTTTTTGCAAAAAGTTGGCTTATGAATACATTACTATAAATAATATTATAAATCTAAGTGTAAAGTTTAAAAAAAAAAGTAAACAGTCTATTTTCTGGACATTATTTGGTTTTATAACAATACTTAATATCATAAGAATAATAGTATACAAATAAATTGAGCAGTTTGCAAATTATAATTTGCAATAAATATAACAAATAAAATTTTTTAGTTTAATGTTAAAAATACATTTTTTGATTTGATATTAGGAAAAAATATTTTACACTTTTTTTAATTTTTATTTTGTCTGATTACTTTTTAAATTTCAGCTGATCTTTTCATCTTAATTAAAGTTGATGATAAATATTATTAATAAATAGAATAAAAGTAAATTAACTTCTTTGGCAGACTTTTGAAACCCCTAATAAATTGTCCTTGACTTTTAAAATTATTCATACTTTTTCAAAACCATTGGGTGGCTTTCATAACAGTGTAACTACTTCTTGACTGTAATTTTTAATGTATTTCTGTCTATTTTAATTATTTATATTGTAATTATTTTATCTAACATTTATTGAGTTTTTTGGATGTGAATAATTGTTTAATTAGGTTTTAGTTTTTGCATTAATAAGCAAATTTAATATCTCGTTAAAAATTAGTGACAATTTAGTGCAACCAAAACTTAATTTCTTTAAGTGATTCTGACCCTATATTATATTTTACAGAGTTTAAGAATAAAAAATCTTGTGAATCTTTTAAATATGACTTTAAGTTTCTGATAAAATGATTCTAAATAAGCTAAACTTAAAAAAAAGGTATAAATACTTTTTTTTCTCTTTTTTCTGTGCAGTTAAAAATTTAATTTTCTCATTTAATTTTTTTGTTTATTATTGACTTATTATAGACTTTAACAAAAACATGTCTTCACACTAGGTTTGGTGTAACCTTTACTAGCTTGTGTGGAATATATACTAGTTTAAGTGCAATGTTTCCAAAGTATATTTAATTTGATTTTTTAATTTTTTTTGGCAATATTTGAAATATTCAAAATTTTCATTTAATCTGTTGATAAATCAAACATAAATAAGTAATTAAAAAAATTATTCTATGTATATTTTTATTTATTACATATAATGGCTACAATTAATTTATCTAATTTAACCGTCATTATTTTTTTTTTAAATTAATATATTTGATTTATAATAATCTGATTCAACAGTTATTATTTGTTTTAAAATTAATTTATGTGATTTAACAATTGTTATTTGTTTTAAAAATAGTTTATCTGATTTGTTTTAAAATTAGTTTATCTGATTCAACAATCATTATTTGTTTTAAAATTAGTTTATCTGGTTTAACAGTTATTTGTTTTAAAATCAAACATGATTTTTTGATTAAGTCTATTTGATAATATGTCTTCTAACATAACAAAATAGCCTTTTTTAAATACTTTTTGATTTTCATTAAAAAATTGTTTAAAAATAATTTTTTTAGTGCTGTTTTAAAATTGAAAATTACCAGAGAAATCAAGGGTCTTGAATAACCGGAGAAATTTTTTTAAAGTTAAAGCTAATTAAACTAATTGATTTATCAGACTAAATGAATAAATTTATCAAACTAAATGATTAAAATTTTCAAACTGAATAAATAAATTTATGAAACATACGAACTACAAACTGATTCATATTTTTCACCTTACATACATGTTAAAATTGTTTAAACTACTGCTTTTTTTTACTGCAAAAGCTGAGCCAGTAGCTTATGTTGCTAAATTATTTAATAACTTTTATAGAGTATTCAAGACAACAGTTATATATCAATAGATGATTCAGGACAGCTATTAAAAAATTATTTACCGAGGATTCAGGAAAATAAATAATTTTATTTCAAATACAACATGTTCTTAAATTAAAATAAAACATGTTTAGGGGTGTCAGCTAAAAAAGCCTACCTTTTTGTTTTCATCTAGTATTATTGTTTGATTTCTTTTCAATTGTAAGGAAATTTGGATAAGAAAATAATTTAAGGAAACATAAGAATTTATGGACACTTATTGTTTAGTGAAATTGAGTTAAATTCTGTGTCAATTCTTCCTGCATCATTGCTTAGCTTTTCCTCATATTAATGTATTTCAAATAAAATGTTTCACTTAATCATAATGTGTTTCAAAATATGTTTTAGTATTTTTTAAAGAGTTCCCGAACTGTTGAGACAAGTTGTGTTCATATTAAAAAAATGTTTAAAAAAAAACATTTTTGCTAGATTTTTAAAATCAACTAATAAACATAAATTAATGAAAACTTGAAAATTATGTTTTAGTAGTCTTTAATATTTTTTATATTCAGTGTTTTTAAGATCAAAGAGGTTTCTTAATGCAGTGTTGACACTATATTAAGAAATCAAGTCTTTCTAAAGTGAGTAAAGTAAAGAAAATTAAAAAAAGTGGAAGCTAGTCATTTTTAGCGATGAAAGTAATAAAGTAATAAATAGAAAAAGCAAAGCTCTTGTAAAAGATTTAAATCGGAAAAGTATAGTACTCACTTTGTTGTACCTAAGTTGCAAAGTGGCAGTAGAAGCTGCTTTAATTTTAACAGAGTAGCGAAATGAATGGCGACAATTTCAAGAAGATTTAGTGCCTTAACATAGTAAAAGGATGATAGAAAATAAAATAGATTTATTGCCCTGGCCAGCTTGTTTAACAGATTTAAATCCAATCGAACCTATTTGTGCTCAGATGAACAAAGCACTAGTCAAGGTGCAAATATGTTCCATAAATAGCCTAAAGCAAGATTTTGTTTTAAAACTCTTCTTTTGGAGAAGAGTTTCAAACAAAATCTGCAACAAACTTGTAAAACGGATGCAAAAAAGATGTGCTGCTTGCAAAAAAGCTCTCATTCTGTTTTATTTTGACAGTTGCATTTTGGGTCACTAGCTTAGATGTCATTTTTGTTGCTTTAATTTTTTATATATTGCAGTTTTTTTTATTGATATTTTTTGTTATTATGTTTGATAACATTTTATATACAATTTGATATTTTAGCATGCTATCCAAGATGCAAGATTTTTTTAAAAAAGATTTTTCTTGCAAATAAAAAAAAATTTGTTCAATATCTTCTTTAGTTTTTTATTTTATGGTAGTTTAAATATGCTTTAAGCAACAAAGTTTTACTGCGCTTATTTTTTTTGAAACCACTGTACTCACTAGCATATATACTAGCATATATATGCATACATACATAAATACCCAAAAAAGGGTAATGGGTTGAAAGATAATATAAAATATATCAGTACTGTAATATCCAATTAGAATTAAGTTGTGAACTAATGTAAGAAAAGCTCAATCATCAGGACCACAATAGATTCACCAATTATGTTTTGATATCATTGCCTGTAGTCTAAAATAAAAAGACTAAAGTAACAGCCATAATTCAAAGTATACATTTACATAGTTTTGAGTTATAATAATATGAAATTTTTCTGCCTGAGAATAGCCTTAGCATTTAAAGCAGAATTAGTTCAAAAATTAGAACTGAAACTGCAAGAATAAAAGTAACTTCAAGGTAAAATACGAAACATAAAGTTATTTCAAAACATTAGGTATTCCAAAAGCAAAAGTATATTTAAGGAACAATCTTTTTGCTGATCTCTTGATAACTTTAGCATTTTTGTTGAAACATTAAAAATAAGTTATTATTTAATTTTTAGAAAAAACAATAGCTATTTTTTATGGGTCACAAACTGGAACAGCAGAAGAGTTTGCTAACCGAATATCTAAAGACAGTCATCGCTATGGCCTAAAAGCAGCTGTATTTGACCCAGAAGAATTTGACATGTCAGACTTAATCAACCTAAAAGAAATACCTAAGTCTTTAGCAGTATTTTTACTTGCAACTTATGGAGAAGGTGATCCAACTGACAATGCCTTACCACTAAAAGAATGGCTTCAAGAAGATCATGATTTAAATGGTAAGTCATCGATTTAATTATTATTTATTTTATGGTTCTAAAATAGGCTTCATCAAAGATGGCATAGATGTAATCTTGTTTTCTGGAAATCACTTAGCAACCTTAATATTTAACTTTGAAGTCTTTATGTTGTATTACTTATTAAGTCTTCACTTTTTTTGTAATATAATTCAATGCAATTTATTTTTCAAAATTACTTTAAAAATCAGAAAATAAAATTAAACTAAGATGTACTATTCAAAAAATATACTACAAAATACATACATTATACATCTTACAAATTAAACTAAGATGTACTATTCAAAAAATATACTACAAAATACATACATTATACATCTTACAAATTAAACTAAGATGTACTATTCAAAAAATATACTACAAAATACATACATTATAAATAATATCAAAAAATTTTACCAGTGGTCTATTAGGGTTAGGGTTAGGGGTTAGGGTTAGGGTTAGACTAGGAAAACTTCATCTTACAAAATACTAGTGTCAGAATAGGAATTTTGTTGAATTTTTAATTTTTCAAAATAAATTTAAAAATGTTTTCTATTTATTTCTAAAATTTAGTTATTAAAAAATTTTTTTTAATAAAATAATATCGTAATTTGAATATAGTGCAGCCAAAGTAACTCCATTTAATATAAGTTAGTTTTAAGACTTTAATAAACTGCATTAAAACTCTTTTGAGTTGAGTTAAAGTAATAAGGAAATTTAAAGATCTAAATTGATTGTAATGTCAAAAAAAAAAACATCAAAAAAAACCCACCAAGTCTTCCCTGGAAACACATGCGGTTTTTTGTCTTGTATGCATGATTATTTTATTTTAGACAACTTGGTCACGGACGTTTTGTAAGTTTTTTATATATTAAGCATTACATTTTTTAAAGAGGAAAGTGAAAATATAAATTGCTATCTGTTTGTCAAATATATTTGTATAATTTTAATGTAACAAGTATATATTGTCTATATGAACACGTCTATGTAATGTATGCGTGTACTTTAATATATTACGTTTTTATTATGTAAATATATATATTTTTTCTATTTAAACTTATTTAAATTTACTATTTTGTTAGTTTTGCTTTCTTTGTTTTTAGAGCTGCAAAGCTTAATATAATAAAACTTGCAAAGGGTCGTGACAAAAAAAAATTAAAAGTTGATTAGTCCAGAAAAGTTTGTAATAAGTTTCAGTAATTTTTATGTTAATATACTATATTTGTGTTTACTTCATAAAATGTTTAAATTACACTAATTTCTACTTATTAAATTATAATTGACACTATTATAGTGTTGTGTTAATGCATGTGTTGTGATTTGTGTTATGATTGTTTTATTTTTTAACTGCAAAAATGTGTTTCCTAAAGATCCAATAGTGTGTAAAAAATTGCATCAGCTATTACAAGGACTAGCATAAGTCCCAGTTAGCACAAAAAAAAAAAAAAAAATTTTTATCATGCCTGTTACCCAAATAAAAATAATGCTTAAAACCAAATTTGTAATTTGTTTTAAAAACATCTTAAGCTACTCTAAATTTATATCTAATACACATAATACCTATTTATATTGACAGTTTCTTTTCTTTTCATAATGGCTACTAGAGGATGTTGAACTTCTCTTAGTATGTTTTGCTTTGTAGATATGTAGATATGTAGATTATTGAAAAGCAACTATTTCATAAAATTGTAAAAGTTACCATATCATGGATAACATACGCAAAATATTTTTGAATACCTTTCAGGACAAACCATGGGTCTCTCATATGATATGTAAAACTTGCCTAACTACTTTAACAGGATGGTTGCAAGGCAGATGAAAGGCAATGTCTTTTGCAGTTCTCAGAGTATGGAGAGAGTTGAACAAACAAATGTAACAGTAACAGTCTCTTCAATATCCAGACATCATCCATAACATCTATGTCCCACATAATGACAGCCTATCAGTATCACAATTACTACAAAATTTACTTCTCATCATACTATCCAAAAGTTGTCTTACATTTAATTTAATTAAACATAAAGTATGTATCAAGGAAGTTTTAAATGCTACTGTTATGTCTATGTTGAAGTTGCTATGTGTTGTTTTTTATTTTTATTTTTTACTAAGAAAAATGCAAAGAATATTCCTTCTAAAGAGTGAGCAAATAACAATAGTAACAGTAGTTTTGTACCATTAACAATTTTTCAGCCTCACTTTCCAAATTAAAGTTAGCTTGATGATTTAGTCAGAGATTTAGTTTGTGCTAACTCAGGAGCTGAACTTCTTTCGTGAAAGCATTTAGAATGGAATCAGTTAAGCAAAGACTGCAGGACATTTGCAGGACACTCGCTACAGTAAAAAGAAAACTATGATAGTGTGTCCATCTTTGCCTCTTTCACACTCACTACAGAAAAAAGAAAACTATGATAGTGTGTGTCCATCTTTGCCTCTGTCTCACTCACTACAGAAAAAAGAAGACTGATAGTGTCAAAGAATTTCTTGACAAAGATATTTATACTCAGTTCAAGTAAGATGTTTGTGGTTCAAGTAGGAGTTTGTGAAGATGATGATGCCTTTCTTGCTTAACTTGCAAGGGCCAATGCTTGTGCAGCCACAGTGCAGTGGTTAGAGTTCTGCCTCAGAATCAAGAAGCTCAAAGTATCAACGCTGGCACAAGCTTAACAAGCAACATTGGTAAGGAAGGAGGCGTGAACTTTCTAGTTAAATGCTCTTCCTCTGTGATAAGACCTTCTGAAATGGACTTCTAGAGACTATGGACTTCTAAGAGCACCTTAATAACTACTTTTGAAGAACTTTTTTTTTCAAAATATTAGGGACCCATTTGATATTTAAGGATCTTGAGCAACCCCTACATTTTTTTTTTATTCAAATATTTTTTTAATTTAGTGTTAATTTATAACATAGAACACATTTTGGGGATAACATAGAACACATTTAGCATGCAGATAATATATATATATATATATATATATATATATATATATATATATATATATATATATATATATATATATATATATATATATATATATATATATATATATATATATATACAGTGGTTTTCATAAATTTAGACGCACTCATATTTGAGAATAGAAATTTTTAGTTTTTCAACGATAAAACAACGACGAAAAAAGATTTTGGTTTAGTTTTTTTTCTATTTATTAGATAAGTACATACAGAATACAAAATTTAAAAAAAGTTTACAAAAAAAAAATGAAATACTAAGTAATAATTAGGTACAACTACATGGTATTAAAAAAATTAGACAAAAAAAATTATTCATAAATTTAGACGCACGATACATTAGAAGGCGTAATTTATGAACCAATCAATATTTTGTGTATCCGCCTTTTGCTTTAATACAACTAAGAACTCTTCTAGGCATAGACTCAACAAAATTTTTGCACATCGCTTCTGGGACCCCATACCAGGTCTCCTTAAGGAATTCCTTCAGCTGAGTAAGTGTGGAAATTTGAACCTTTGCTAATTCACGGTCAATCCAAGCCCAAATGTTTTCAATTGGGTTTAAATCAGGTGAGTATAAAGGCCACGGTATTGTCATGATACTATTATCGTTGAACCACTCCTTTGTATAGTATGCAATATGTGCAGTAGCGCCATCTTGTTGAAGTTTCCATGGTTTATCATTGAGCATAAGCAGGTCAATTGATGGAATTAAGTTGTTTTCCAGTACTTATACGTATATTCTGGAGTTGATTCTTCCGGTGTATGTTTGGCACATACCAAAACCTTTGTAATTGAAGCATGACCAGATTCCTATCGAGCCTCCTCCACTTTGTACAGTCTGTCTAATGTACCTGGCGTAATACTTTTCATGAGCCATTCTTTTGACCCTTATGTTAGATTTGCGATTGATAAGCTCAAAGTTACTCTCATCACTCCACATAATGTTTTCCTATTGTTCTATTGTCCAATACCTTCTTTCACGACACCATTTTAGTCTCCTTTGTTTATTATATGGACGCAGAAGCGGTTTCTTCAAAGCAGTGTAGACTCCAATCTTGTATTTGATAAGTATTCGGCGGACTGTGCTTTGAGAAATAGATGTATTTCGTGTTGTATTGAATTCTGTGGTTGGTTCTTTGTAACTAATTCTTGGATTTGCTCTGACAGCTCTAAAATGAACACTATCGTCCTTTCTGGTGGTTGACAAGAGTCTACCTGGCCTCGTTTTCTTGCTGGCACCACCAGTGTGAAGAAAGTTTTGTTTCGTTGTTCGAACGCATTTATTAGAAACTCCAATTAACTTGGCGATTTTTCTATTACTTTTGGTTCCTTCTTTGATGCGCGCAATAATTTGCCATCTTTCACCTTGAGTGATACGTCTTTTGCCCATTTTTCGCGTCTTTTTAGTGCAAAACTAACTTAACTTTTGTTTATTTATTAAACAATGATTAACTAATTCCAGGTAAGTCATATTTATATAAGGTTTTTTGACAAAATCAATTACTTTAGGCCTATTAATGAGAAATATGGGGAAAAAACTACTAATTAACTATCAATTAACAAGATATAAGACTTTTTTGGTTGTGCGTCTAAACTTATGAACAAAATAAAATCAAGCTTATCAATTAACTTTTTTGTGTTAATCGGTATAGAATGAGTAATAAACATCCTGTAAAAAAAAAATTAAGGTACTCATAAATAGAGTTTTACTTCCTCTTGTAAATTATATATCAAACATAGCGGTAGTACTTTTATTTTATTTTTATTTTGAGTATTTTCTTACATATATGAAAATAAAATGAATGCGTCTAAATTTATGAAAGCTACTGTATATATATATATATATATATATATATATATATATATATATATATATATATATATATATATATATATATATATATATATATATATATATATATATATATATATATATATATATATATATACCCAGCGGGCATTTTGACGTTCTAAGGAAGTCCGTAAGTCGTCTTAAGTCTCGTCCGTAAGACATCCTTAGTTAGTCT